GAAACACCTTAGCTGAGTGTTGGGGGCTCCATTCCAAAATATAATACTTATTTTTTGTTACAGAGGTGTGTATTCTTGTTCCAAGAGGGATTGTGCTATTTCCGTGTCAGGGAGGGAGTTGAAAAGGAAAACAAGAAATATTAGAGCTGGTTTGGAGTGACATTTCTTAATCTCTCCATTTTCAGTTGTTCTCATATGAGTGCCTTTGTCATAGCAGCAGTGGACAAATGCAAACAAGATGTAATTCAATTGATTCTGAAACACGACCGGAAACGTTGCTCCGAGCTGTACTGCTACCGTGTGCTGTGTGCTGTCGTTGTGCTTAGAGCATGCAGAAATGTTTAAAATACGCTCATACGTTTCAGGATGTCTGAGCAGCCCCATCTGACGTGAAGGAGGTGCTGTCAGGAAAGGCTGTGCCCTGCACAGGGCCCTCGACACCCCGAGGGTCACGGCATGCGCCCGAGTGACTGAGTAGAGCCAGGCAAGTCCTAGGCATTCCACGTTTGTTGGGAACTCCAGAGGACTTGGTGGTGGGGGCGTGGGGGGAAGAATGAATTATGGGCAGCAAAGAAAGGGGAGAAAGGAGGATTTGGGTGAACAGGAAAGATAGGCAGCAAAGTGGAAGGACCCCCATAGAAAACATGGAAAAGATGTGAGCAAACACCCAGCCAGCAGGGAGAAAAGCTTCCTGCTGCTTTTAATAATTTAGGAGCTGCACCTCTTGCAGCAGGAGCTGTGATGCTTGGATATGCCGGAGGTCCTGTCACGCTCTCTTCCCTTGCCCTCCATGCAAATACATGCTTTTCTGGAGGGATTATGTTTGGTATGGTTGGTATGTTCAGAAGTGACACATTAAGGTGCTCTGTTTTTGTGTCGCCCTTCTGTTCATCAGTATCTGGGCCTGAAAAGAGGGAAGCTCAAGCTATGCATCTGGAGCCTGGAAACCCTCTCTGGGTTTTATTCTTGATTGATCTTGGTTGGCTTCCCTAGCTCATATTTACTTCTGAAAAGTTCTATTTTAGGTATAAATGGCTCATGCTTATCTGGTATGGAACTCACAGCTTGTTTTTGTGCAAGTCTGACTACATTAAACTGACAATTAAAAATCCACGCAAAGTGACATAGAATCGTTTTCTTAAAATTAATCTTCTGAAAAATAAAACTGCTTCTTGTGATTTAAAGCATTCAAATTCAAAGCAAGTTTTATTTTACCATCAAATTTCTACTGGCCATAGAAATACAAAAACTTCTACCTTAAGAATTTCTTCACCTTAAATTAGTTCAATCCCCTTGTGTTCTTTCTAACAATAATTCAGCATTGCACAAAACTGCAGTTCTTCCAGAGAGAAGCAGCATGAAAAAAATAAAATAGCCTGAACATGAAAGCATGCTTTTGTTCAGATTTAAACATGGAGGAAATTAATTGCCAAGGAACAGCACTAGGACATCGCTTGAATTAGATTTTATCACACAAGCAGGAGAAGGAGCAAGCTCTGCTTTTCCAGCTGTAAATCAGCCACACTGGAGCTGCACAGCAGAATGCAGCTGCCCATACCTGCTAGAGGAAGCTGAATTACAGTTGCAACAAGCTAGGAAAATGCCTGCATCCTTTTTGTGACCGTTACGTTCAGATCTCCTGGTGCTGGTTTTCCCTTTAAAGCCAGAGGTGCAAGAGTAAATCAAGCCCATCAGTCATAGTGGGAGAAGCTGTATGGAAAAGCGCATGTCAGCAGAGTCATTTCCCTAAACACTGTGCACCCTTGTGCTTGCTTTCCCTTAGAAAAGCTCTTTCTGTATCCGTAATTATCCATGGCCATAGTTCCCAGAGAAAGCCTTTGCTAAATTAGATACGGCTGGCATAGGGTGGCCATAAACCAGTGTGTTGGCTGAGGGTACAATCTGCATTTCCACCTCTCCCTTTTCCCCTAGAAAAGGGAAAACCTGAAGGATGACATGGGCTTTAGACCTATGTTTTGAAAACCTACAGTTGTCCCCCTTTTGTCAACAGCCTGGGAACTGTAGCAAACTGCTTGATTTTTGTAGAAATGAGGGTGAATTATATGCATTTCTTTTTCAAATCTTCACATGCAGGGCATTTTTCCATCTTTCTGTGACTGCTACTACCAGGATCCTAGTCTAGTGTCTAGGATGTATCTAAGAATGCAATGATTTAAATACCTACTAGAGTCTTTGAATTCTGAATCTGATATCTAATTAAGGTTTACATAAGCTGTAGGATTACTCCTTTAGGTTGAAGCTTTTAAATCCAGACTGGAGACATTTTCCTCTTGGCTGACTCGCTCATCTGTTTTCAGATATTTTGCATGACGGATGTTGAAATTACATTACCTGAGAAACATGCATTATCCTCATCTTTCCTTATACCTAATCAGGCAAAAATGAACGCCTAAGTCCTCCGAGAGATGAGCGTGTATGGAAACAGCACTGGTTAGAACAGCAAGCTCTGCGTGTTGCCACCCTCACGCCTCCTCCCGTGGGCTGGCCTTGTGCTCCGGGCTGCATCCAGGCGCTGGGCAGTGATGAACAGCAACTTCTGATGAGACCTGCACGCTCGTGAGTCAGCACTTCCTGCTTTTTCACATAAAACCCCAGATAAAGACTATTCAAACTGGCAGTATTCAGCCACTGTGGGAAAAAATCTGTCAGTGCTGATAGGCAAGCAGAGGCAGCAGAAGCGTGCTCTTGTCAAAGCACTAGAAATTCAGCTGAAACAAGCCCTTCTCCATTTTATAGCCTGCCCCACTTTGCTTTTGCACGACACATCTTTTCACCTGACGTGGAGAAAGGGTAGGTTTGTTACAGGTTGTTGTTGTTCACCAGCCAAGGGGGTGCTCGGACATGTTTGGTGATAACTAAGTAACACTCCCAGTTTGTGTCTTCACCCTAAGGAAACCTTCTCTGCTGCCTTGTTTTAATAATATCAGCCATATACATTTACTCTGGGTGCAAGAAAGGGCAGGGGCAAAGGAAACAGGCCGTCCCTCTGCTGCAGTAGCAGCACAGCCTATTTGCAGCAAACCACCTAACCCGTACGGGTGTTTCTCGGTCATTTCCCTGCACACAAAACACACCTGACTTGTGTTTCACTCTAGGCCATGTTGCCTGCTGGATTTTGCTTTGATTTGCTGGGAAGTCTGAGCATTTGGATACCAGCTGGCAGTCTGTCATAAGGACAGTGCCTGAACAATTTGCTGGGAAGTCTGATCATTTGGATACCAGTCTGTCATAAGGACAGTGCCTGAACTCTGGCAAGACCACCCTACCTGCAAAAAGGAGATTATGAGACCAATTTCCTTCACGAAGACCTTTGAGACTTCAGGATGAGATGTGCTTTGTAAAAGGTCAAATGTAGCTGCAAATCCACTAACTATATTGAGATACAGGTTCCCGGGACGGTGTTGAACCCTTGGTGTGCTGAGCTTAGCTTTGTAAGCCACGGGCAACGCAGACCTTTGTTTTGCCTTTCATGTTCATTCCCTCTTCCCACAGGCTGTTATTGCTAGTGTCTGGAATGGGCCCTCCGAGACCGTGCACTAAAATCTTCATTCCTCGGGTTCAAAGCAGGGGCTTGGGGATGTCTCCTGGCTGGGAACTCCATGAAGAGTTAACCAGGCCGAGGAAGAATGTCAGCTTGCTCCATGTGTGTGTGTGTGTGTTTCAAACTTGGACATAGGAAAAGCCAGGCAATGTCTTTAACCGATTTTTACCAGATGAACGAGCCACTGAAATCTGAACAATCAAACTCCTTTCTTTTGTTCCTGCTTTTTTCACAGTTGAAATAACACTGTTCCTGATAATGCTGCAAAGCTCAGGCAGATGGAAAACTCCACTGAATGTGCTGCCTGCCCTTAGCTGAACGTTAGCAGATTAAAAACCTCACCGACAACTTACCACTAATTGCCAGATACAACATCAAGCAAAAACTATTCTAGAAGCTTCCAAGACACTTGGGGCTGCAATAATTGTATAATCAATTAATTTGATGTCATAAACAGGCAGTGGATTTACAATGTCATTTCTTCTGAAACCCTAATTCTCTTTATAAATCACTGTTAAAGGACAGGTTTGGGGGCTACTTTATACGAATTCTGTAAAGCAGGTAGGTGTATGTGCTCATGTACTATTATTACACTGTTTGATTTTTCAAACCTGAAGTGTATGAATCTTGTGGATTATGCTGCATGGGGATAACTTTCACTTTGCACATGCTGTCACCGAGGTGGTGAGATCAGCAGTGAATTGTTAGGAGAACTTGCAACTACCTTCCAGTAAGAGCTAGCAAAGCGTTGTCCATAGAGACCCCTCAGCTTCCACTTCACGTCACACAAAACGTAGCCTAATTTGTCTTTAAGAGTTTAGGAAGCAGCCAGGCAGATTTTTGTAGCAAATTTTTAAAAAAATCTTAGTGTAGGGATTCAGCGTTTGTCCTCCTAACAGCTCCTCATTTTCTGTGCTTGCCTCATGGAAGCTTTTCGCTGTGACACAGAGTTATTGCTCATACAGGTTGGCAGAGGAGTTCACTGTATGGGATTAAAAAAACGGGAGAAGTTAATCAGAGCACAATATCAGATTACTCACCTAAACTGAGAAGAGCTTGGAGCAAGTGGAGCGATTATACGGCAGGACACATGGGAACGCAAAATGAATGCGTTTACTTTTCCGAACAAGTGAACCCAAAACCTAAACAAATACTAATGTGATCAGCACTTGGGAGAGATCGTGTATGGACAAAAAGTGTTCTCATTAAGTGACATTAGTTACTTTTATGAAAAACATGATATGTAATGGGCAGACCCTACTGTGTGACAGAGCTAGTTGACTGGTATGCAATGCTGGGGCTGCTGTGTCCTGATAGAATACACTGTATTATGCAAAGTTCCCCGTTATGTGAGCTCACCTTAGAGGCATAACACTTTTAGGATTTTTTCCAAAGAAAAGCAAACGTTGAGAGGATGTTTGTCTTTAAAAGGAATTGTGCATCCATCCCAGGAGCCTATTTGACTCAAGAAGAAGTGGCCAGCATGTACTGTGTCAACCCTATTTATACCGTATCTGCTCAAGACAAGGACACCCTTTCTGCAGAATAACTCCAGTAGTGCTCGTGGTTCTTGTCCCTCCAGAACAAACCTCCCTGTTTCTGGCAGAATCCCAGAGGTGCTGTCGAAGGAGGGGCAGGATCTCCAAGATACTGAGTGCTCTTTCATTGCAAAGCATAACACTGTTGGTCATTAATTCCTCTCCGTGCCCCTTAACACTCTCTCTTGGGTTCTTATAAAACAAGGAGAAAAAAATAATAAAAAAGTCCTTACTGTTTGAGCCAGAAGGTAAGTGACTGTGATGGGCCCTTCAACTGGCTGTGCCTGGTCTGAGTCTTATCGGTTGGAATGTAGCTATCAAACTGCATAGCAGCTTTTATGGGCATAAAATGGTAGGGGTTTCAATTGGTGAGGATGCATTTCAAGCAAAGATATACCAAATTCAGAATTACTTGTTGAGGTTGTTTTGCCTCATAGACCAGCCATGCAAACAAGAGCGTGTGCTATCCAGTGTATGTGTTAAAAAGATTCTGGAGTCTGTACGCAGACACGTAAGGCTGGAACAACAGTTGGTGAAATATTTAGTGGTAGGAGGAACAAACTACTGTGCTCGTGAAGCCTGTGCTTCAGATGTGTGTGTTTTGAGATCCTAGTGCCTGCCCTGGAAAGTAGGGATCAGAACCAGGCTCTTGACCCTGGCTCCCCAAGCAAAAGAGCAAGTGGTTTTGTGGGGCAAAAAGACATAATGATCCAATTGTGTGGGATTTACTGAATTCTTACTCAACTGGAGGAAGAGAAGAGTCGCTGGCTTTGTGATTTGTGGTTTTAACTGCACACACAAGCTCCTGAGAGGCTGCAGTTGCTCTAAGCAGCGTTTTTGCTGCTGAACATTTCTCTCATCCAGCTGGAAAACAAAACAAAACGCAGTTGTTAATGAGGCAATGTTAATGCATTCATCTCTGCATCTCTTCAGAATTAATAGCCAGAAATGAAGCATAAATTAGTCTGGGGGGGTAGTCAAAGCAGGGCTTGTCACAGCTCCTGTATCGCAGCTCTGCTTTTAGGAAACGTGGCTCATTTAACCAGAATGTGAGGTTACTTTGCATTTGAAGAATTCAGAGCAAATCGAAATTTAATCCAGCCTTTCAGCTCATACTGAAGCTGTGTTTTTTTATTATTGTTTCTCCCATGGCAATCGCAGTAGTTCTCATCCTAATGATGTCATCCCTCAGTGTCCCCGCTGCCACCCGGGGACACTCACACTCTCATTATTCACCAGCAAATGCCTCTTGTTTTGCTAGATCTGCCTGGGTTTTAAGTGCACGGGGTGCACATGGATGTCCCCGTGGTCGCCCTGGGAAAGGAAGGACAGCGGTGGCTGACCGGGAGCTGGACACTTTGCTCGCCAAGTATGTCACGTGTTTAACTTTGGTAGTGTATTTATAAACAAGCTGAACTTCAGCTGGGTGATCTCATCGCCTTGGTGGAAGGGAGGTTGCAAAGACACATGTTGAAGTCTTCATGTCGAGTGAAAAACACGGCCTTAGCAGCTCGTGGAAAAAAATACGTGTTTATCACTGACACGGAATTATTGACCTGGAGCCACTAATGAAGGGCCAGGAGGGAAATGTTATACTTGATCTTGATTAAGTATCTTACTTGATGCAAAAACGCTAGACTAAATGGTTCTAGGGAGATTAATTTTGAATTAAACATCTAAGAACTTTTTACATACAGCTTAAAGAAAAATAAAAACGTGTCTTAAGTGATAAAAAGAAACCTCAAACCAGACTAAGTGGTTCTAAGGAGATTCATTTTGAATTAAACATCCAAGAACTTTTTACGTACAGTTTATAAAGGAAAAAAAAAATTGTCTTAAGTGATAAAAAGAAACCTCAAATCACTGTCTTGCGCTTGAGCTAGCTGGCAAATCCCTAGGTGCGCCTGAATCAAACACACTGTTAGTTGGGCACTGTTTTCAACAAGCAAATTCTGCTGCTCATGGTAACAGCTATAATGGCATCTAGTTTTGCCATATGTACAAATCTGTGCTAAATAAGCATGATTAAAGTGGAGAAGAAAGCAAGAGCGCTTGGGTAAGCTTCCCTGAGTAACCTTAGTTGTAGCCCTGGGCACAGAATCCTAGTATTTTCCCTCTGGGTGTTACTTATCTCTTTGCAATAGTAATTCTGGGTATTAAAGAGGCAGTTTCTATGTGCAACACAAACCAGAAATGTTGGGGTACCCAAGTGATTTCACAGTGAGAAGACAAAAACACTGCAAAATGCTGCATAAACCTTGGACACATCTTCACCTTCTCCAGGAAAACCCCAACCGGGGCTGGATAGAGCTGCTGTACACAAGGCCTGGCAAACACAAGTGTGCAGCAGCAGTTCCCTCCCCTCGTTCATAACTGGGCTTAAATATGTGTCTGTGCACCACACATGGAGGGAAAATATCTTCTGTTTTGTCCTTGGCATCACCTTATCTCCATGGAAATATACACCTGAACCAAGCTGCTTTTTGAATCATAGCTAGAATGTAGTGAGCAGTTTATAGTCGAGGTGCACCAAAAAAGGCTGTAAAATAATTGGTGTGCCTTTTGAGAAGCATGCAGCAATGTGGAGCACTGCAAGTTGAACAGACACAAGTAAAGCAGGAACAAAATCATGAAAGTCAGAGGAAACTTTAGTAATAAAGAGACTTCCTGTATTTTAATTTGTTACAGAGGGCAAGAGGAGAAGAAAACTTTTTCAGAAAGAAAAGTTAATGCTCGTGTTTGTCTTTCCTGTGGGTACGTGCGTTCTGGCGACTGCCCTGCTGCCTCTCCTGGAAAAAGCAGCTGATCCCAGAGGGTCACTCTGTGATGCTGCTGCCAAGTGCAGCTGTACCAGCCTCTCCCTGTGCTTTCTGATGGCATCTCTTTGGTTGTGTTAGCTATCCAGGACTAGATGCAATGCCATAAGCATCTCAAGAATCCTATTAGAATATCACAGAATCACAGAATGGTTGAGGTTGGAAGGGACCTCTAGAGATCATCTAGTCCAACCCCCCTGCTCCAGCGGGGACACCTAGAGCACATGGCACAGGGTGGCATCCAGGCGGGTTTGGAAGATCTCCAGAGAAGGAGACTCCACGACCTCTCTGGGCAGCCTGTTCCAGGGCTCTGTCACCCTCACAGGAAAGAAGTTCTTCCTCACATGGAGGTGGAACTTCCTGTGTTTCAACTTACACCCGTTACCCCTCGTCCTGTCACCGGCCGCCACCAAGAAGAGCCTGGCCCCATCCTCCCTACAATCACCCCTCAGGTACTTGAACATGTTGATCAAATCTCCTCTCAGCCCTCTTTTCTCCAGACTAAACAGGCCCAGCT